GAATACGTCTGCGTTGTCTACCAATCCCAAAGTCCAGGGAAAGACACACCCGCGGGCTTAGAGGTAAGGATCATTAAGTGCTTTCCATGCATTCTGTTCGTGTTCAGTAATAACGCCACGCACAATACAGAGAAGAATGTTCAAAGCCTGACCTTTTTTTAAGTTCAAGCTCAGTGAATATTACACTTTTTGAGAAGACAGTGTGAATCCGTATACAACCTTTTGATACATGAAACACGAATTTGTCTACTGTTTCATTTCCGATAAAAACAATCAATTGACTTCAATTGACTGCAATTGACTGATCGTTGCAAATCACCTAGGCCTACTTTTCTTGAAATGACAGCAAGCTAGATGGAACAATTTCACAGTGCGCTTAGGCTAGTAGCAGTAGGGCCTACGATTTTTAATCCTGTTATTAGCTTTTTTGATAGTAAATGGGTAGGTAACGTTTTTTAATAAAAGCAGTGTGCACCTTTAAAGGCTGCGTGGCTACTGCAGTGGTGGATTATTCACGTAAGGGCCCTGTCACACTTCTGCGTATCCTAATTCCTTATGAGTTGCGCATTTACTTTTTTTCATACGCAGTCGTACGCACAATACGCACCTCATATGCATCTCTATCGTTTTTATGTACGCAGATATACGCATGGTACGGTCCAGTACGCAGGAAAGTTTTGGGCATGCACAAAACTTAGCTGCGTACGCTGTTACGCAGGTCATAAGTTAAAAATACGCAGCGCATCGGTCCCGCATCGGTCGAGTGCGTTACGAGTACGCTATGTGTTCGTGACGCACCCCGTCATCATATGAGTCGCCTGTATTGGACTTATACATAGCGTACTTGCAGCGCAGATGCAACGCACGCTGAACGGCGAGTGGTGGAAATGCGGCGGGAATACGCTCAAAAGTGCGTCAAGCATGCGGTCGGCATAAGTCGGGTGCGTCCGGAATACGCACTGCATACTGACCTATTCGCAGCCCGAAAAATAATGTTGTGCACCGCATACGCAACTCATACGCATCTCATACGCAATGCATGCGCTGAATTCGGTACTTGTACGCTAGATGTGCGTCGCACATAAGTCAAAAATTCGACGTTTTGAGCGTACGGCTGCGTATTGAAAAATTTTGATAAGGAACTCATAAGGAATTAGGATACGCGAAAGTGTGACAGGGGCTTTAGCCTCAAAACATCCTACTTTAAAGTGTTTCACTTTGTCATTTGGTCTTGTACAAACGACGGCCCTACATCCCTGCATGGTCCTGCGCGTACTAGGTTGGTCGCATGACACACCCTAAACCTCCGTTGTTTTTAGCTCCATGGTCACGCCCACTATACCAACGGCTGCGCTTGCGTATGATTTTGTATTCCGATTGTCAGTGAACAAGACTCAAATTATCCGAAGGCCAAACCGGACATATGTATCGAAGAATCAGCTCTGAATGAAATATGTATTTACCAGTGGCGTCCGAAGTTGTTAGTGGAGGAAGGCCAGTGCTAGACCCACACTTCCCAATGCAGATTGTACCGCTTTCTAATCGAACACAGCGCCCAAGCAGCAATTTAAGCACAGTTGATCACCCCAATACTAAACGCACATACCTCCCGCACCGTAGTGGATTCTGCGTCACAGCTAACCTATACCTTTATACCAGCGCAGCTTTGATAACCTTTTGGTTAATGATTAAAATAATTCATGTTCAACTTCCCAATGCTGGTGAAACCGCTATCTGATCGAACACAGCACCACACCAGCAATTTTGGCAAAGTTGATCACCCCAATTCTAAACGCACGTACCTCCCACACCGTAGTGGATGCTGTGTCACAGCTAACCTATACCTTTATACCAGCGCAGCTTTGATAACATTTTGGTTAATGATTAAAATAATTCATGTTAATCGTTATTGTGCGCACGCAAGGGTGTTTAAGGACATCTTCGTTACAATCCTGTGTTTCCCCTAAAAGAAGATCCGCAACATGACAACCGACGAAAAAGTAAAAATGCAATGTTTTCAGTACAATAATAACCGGGATATGCGAGTTTCCAAGTAACACGAGTAGGCCTATGACTTTAACTCATCACCGCCATATTTGTTTTCCTAATTGAGTCATTCTAATTTGGGGTCCACTTTCTTTTCTGTCCACGTTACATCATGGAAAACTTTAGTTTTAGGATTCTGGTGCACTCCTTACTGCAATCGACCTTCAAGAGTGATTATGAATAGTAAACTACCTATACCCCAAAAAATATAAACGTTAATTTGAAGTCATTCTAAAGGATATTTTAGTGAAAGGCAAATTGCAGACGTACCAATTTAACATGGACAGATAAAGGTCACACTTTGGACCCTCGTTAATTGATTAGAATGACCTCATTAATTGATTAATCGAAACATGGGGTTGAAGTGCAGGGGTGCAGTTCACTATGATAACATCTATGAGTGTATGTGTTTGTGGCTGTGCTTTTAAATTGACAGTATTTTATAATAGTCAGGTGGCTTATGGGCGGAATCGTTACCGACTAGTCCAAAGCGCCAAATTTGCAGACTTGTATTCGAGTCACCAAACATCGAGTCCAAGTCCGAGTCACCTCTCCCGAGTTCGAGTCCCTAGTCATGCAGGGAGTCGGATCCGAGTCACGAGTCACAAAGATCGAGTCCGAGTCACGAGTCACGAGAACACATATAATATGTATTGGAAGTACCCTTGAGGCTTAAAACCTCAAGTGTAAATGTTTCCATTTTTTTCAGAGTTTTTCTTTAATTTAATGAACTGGAAATACATGTATTATATTACAAGTCAAATAAGGCCAGGCAGGATAGTCCGATATCAAACACTATCAAGCTTGCATTTACGCAGTGTCAAGTGTGAACGTTGGGGTACCTGTTTCAGTACATTGATTTCCTAATCACTTTCGGGGAAAAGCCAGAAGCACGCGCTGTGCATTCACAATACACTTACCAAGCTGCGTCTTTTCTGCACCGCGCATAATTTATCGCTCGCTCAGGAGACGATCGTCTTCAAAATAATATATTGTTGCAATAAATAAGTGATTTTGTGTTAATTTTGGTCGAGTCCCGAATCACGCTGGTCGAATCCGAGTCCAAATTCGAGACCGCAGGGTAGAGTCCAAATCATTTGTCATCGTGACTTGAGTCCGAGTCTGAGTAACGGGAAAAAAAAGAACTCGAGTCACATGTCGTACAAGTCTGTAAGTTTGGCATGCATGCATGCTTTGTGTGGGAAAATCTCCCAAGCGAAAAAAAGAAAAGATGTGTCCGTAAATTGGGCTAAAACTAGGCGAAGGCTTGCCTGATGTGGGGGCTTGAATAAATTCAGAGCAATCCCTGTCAGAAAACTGTTGGCATTGACATCAGTGTAAACAACCATAATCTCTTATTTGGGGGGGGGGGGGATTTCTTTGAACTTGTTGAAGTCCCCCATGTTAGGCAACCCCTCATGTAATTTTTAGCCCAATTTATGGGAACTTTTTTTTCTCCTCATGTTTGCTTTTTGGACTTCCTGTCATGATGTTATCATTGTTCACTTGATTTTTCATATAGTTTTATTAGGTTAAGTGTGTCAGTTAGTAACGTTGTGAATTTAAAGCTCACCAAAACTGAGGTTTGGCAAGACTACTTGATGATATCTGGGGAAAAGGTAAATGCACCGATGGGGTTGGAACTCGACAAATGTATTTACATAAACAGGAATATGTTATAGGTAAAAATAATGATGTGACGTCATGATGACATCATCATCATCATTACCTTCACCACCTTTATTATTGTAAAACAAACTCGAGGCAAAAAATGTATTAAGTTCTTAATATCCATATCCCCACATCATTCAATTTGTTACTTTGAATCCTTAATGGCTGCGTTCTTAGCAATCAACAACATAATAATCACACATTACAGAGGAACGGTATTTTGCTATGATGACAAGGTTGTATTCTTCTTACATAATTGTTACATAGAATTGAAAACAAAGAGTTTTAATAAAAATTGTTGTGAGTGCATGGGCTATTTAATGTGTTTAAAACAAATAAAACTGCTACCTTGGAGCAGGTTACATGAACCCCAAAACCTTTACTGTCCAGACACGTAAAAGAAAACAAACTTCTCTTTCAACATTGGTCAATTATTGATAATTGCTATCATCGACCTCCCATGACAATTTTAACAGCTTTTTGTCAATTTGAAATGATGTAAGCCTGAAATTAATGTGCATATGAACCAATTGAGCAAAAAGACATCTGAGTACAATAACAGTTTATAAAAGAGAAACATCGATAAAGAAATAGCACAAAAAGTAAATCAAAGTCAAAATCATGCTAAACATTTTTGAGAAAGATCAGCCTGGCAATTTCGGTTCATACTGTCCAACCTAAAGGTTATTTATCAAGCTCTCATGTGTGTGCTTAATAAAAGACAGCTTTTACTTTATAATAAGCCTAGTTTCCGTATCGACGTTTAGCTTATCGCGCAGACTACGCAGACTGCGCAGACAGTACGCGGAACAGTCGGCTAGTTTGCGTCTGTCTGAGTTGTTGGCGACGCTTCCAGATGAAATGTTTCCATATGTCTGTATTGTTGGTCCTGTTTGCATTTCACTTTGTGTTTCTTACGTCGAAATGGAAACTAGGCTTTACACTCGTGGGCTTGCTGTTGTACAATTAACGTTCTTACAACAAAACATTATCTAGGTATACCACAAAAATGTCCAGGTAACACAGAAACATCCAGGTACCACAGAAACATCTAGGTACCATAGAATCATTTAGGTACTACAGAATTGGAAGTGAGCAATTCCATGAATAATTACCATTGCTGCACATCATTGACTATAACAACTTTCAAGTACTTTTCAAATTTGATACGATTGAAAAGTGAAAACATTAGCGGCTAGCACGGGATGTTAAAAAAATGACATTTTATCACACAAAAATAGACGTTAGTATCATAATCATAATAAACGTTGTAGAAATACAAATTCAACTTATTTCAATTCATACTTTCGAGTTAAGCATTGTCGGGGCAAAGCTTTTTTAAGTTGGACCCAAGACACATTACACAGTGCTTAGTACTTCTGCTCTTGGGGTGGTGGGTACTGCCCCTGGGCCGGTGGGCCTGGGTACTGCCCCTGGGCCGGTGGGCCTGGGTACTGCCCCTGGTCTGGGGCGCCTGGGTACTGGCCCTGAACTGGCTGAGCTGGGTACTGTATTTGGACTTGTGCTCCAGGGTTCTGCATTCCTGGGTTGGTTACCCCACCAACACCGTAAACCTGTGCATCATTGAAGAGATAACTAATAGATCAGTGTTGTTCCTAGAGTGTTGCAGTCGAGTCCATCACAATTAAGTCTGGTCACAAGTCCTGTCACAAGTAAATCCATAGTTAGACTGTAGGAATTTGACAACATTTAAAGGTATATGGAACATTTGCTCATTAGCGAAGGCAGAGAAAACGCATGTACAATTTTTGGGGTCTCATGACTGGATTTCGTTGCTATTGCTAACGCTCATAGGTTTACATGTTAAAAAAAAATACCCGCGGGTACATTTTCTGAAACCAACTCCAATGATTGTTTCTTCCGAATGATACCATTACAGTCGGAGTAATTTGATACCAGTCCTGTCTTCACTTTGAGCAAGGATGTTCTTGTTAAATTGGTAGGTACGTTTCCACGTAATTGCAAATGGTCCTGCGTGCCTTAAAGGGACATTTCGGTCTGGAATGCGCCAAATTGGGCTACAAAACGCGTTTTAAACCAAACGATATTAAACAAAAAGAGCATTTAAAAGTAGAATATAGACGTCCACACAACTATCCTTTAAAAACTGGGACATTTGTTTCATTCTTGCGAGAAACATGCGAGAATGAATTTCGGGGGTCACATTGTTTTTGTCCCCGGAAAGAGCGAGCTGTTTAGTGCTATAGTTGTGATCCAGCCGCACAGTGGTTTGTGTTCTGCGGACGTGTATAAGAAACAACGTTTTTGTATTGGTGTTGTGTGTATTATGTACCACACACACAACGTGTAGCGTACATTGAATAGACACGACTTGAAATACGTACAGTATTTTTCAGTGCAGCTGCACTGTATTGTAAACGAACTGAACTAAAAAATTTGAGCAATACGAAGCTTTTGGTGAACTAGAAAAGTTTATGTGAGGTATAGTAAAACAAATATAACATGGTTTGCGGGTGGACAGCTGATATTAGCTCCCCTCGGTATTCCCGAGGCGAAGCCGAGGGAACTAGTTTGTCAACTTCCAATACCTCGGGGAGCGAATATCGACTGTCCACCCTCAAACCATGTTATATTTGTATAGTGCTTTATAGGACTTTGACTGACTCGAACTGTTCCCCGCCATAGAGTGACTTTCCCGCCACCGCGCACTACTTTATATAGCCGCGTGGTATGCATGCGTCACGGCATATATGAATAAATTAAATACAAGAGGGCGTCCTAACTTAGGGCCATAATTTCTCTACATTATGTTTGCGACGCTAATGATTGTATATGTTACATGTTTGTGTAGTGCAATATTAACGTACCCCGCTGACGCAGGTAATGTCGCGGTTTGGTTTCGTTTTTCTAGCCCCAGTGTGAGGATTTTAGTAATAGAGATTGGTTTTTAACCCATGCGGCGGGGGGGGGGGGGGTGTAGGGGAATCAGTTGATATGTACATAACCGCGACCAACATGACTTACCACAGTGGAAGCCTGCATTGGAGTAGGTTTCTGGATGATGCGCGCTGAGTACACAGTCCCAACGATACACAGTGAGAGCTCAAAGAGAGCGAGTAGAATGATAACGACGTCAAAAGCCACATCACTGACGTACTGCTCGGAACACAAACACACAAAACACAATACAGGGTGAGTCCAAAAAAAGAAAAGAAATGGAAATCAAATTGGTGCCCCCCTACTTTTAAAGAAGTTCTTCCCGTAGCGCATTCAAGATCTAGGATGTGAAAGCCCAATAAATATGCTTTACTTAATCAAAGAATCGTTTATATTGTAACGGCGGTGCCAGAGGGCGCCAGCACGGACCCACGGGTGCAACCGTAGCGTTGGGACCCCTGCTGCTGGGCCAGGGAGACCCGTTGCCAGACTGCGCCGACTCAGTAGTGTGACTTTTGTATAGCGTTCCTTTTGGTTGTGAGTTGTATAAAGTGAGAGCCTCGTGTAAAGAAAGTGGCAAGAATAAATGGCCAGAGAGCCCCGAAACCCTGAAGAATAGTGTCTGTGGTTTCCTTCGTCTGGCGTGTGAGAACCCCAGATTCGTTCTACGTTACATTGGTGGCAGCCGTGGCATGTCTGATGGAGGAAAAACAGGAAGAATTTGCAGTGTTTTTTCGTCGCCATGAATACACCGGGTCGAGTTAGTCTGGCGTCCGACTCGACTCGCTGGATCGGGGCCTCGCAGAGCGTAAACCCACCTGTTGAGATGGCCAGCAAAGCGTTCGTCACGTTGGATGACTCGGAGTTGGACTTGTTCAGGGTTTCGGGGAGCCAGCTACGCCCACATGCTAAAACCCATGGGGAATCGCGCCGCATTGTGCACCACGGCGCCAAAGACGCTCTGTTCCACTCGGAACACTGCCGAGTTGTGCCTGTTGATAATAAAGCAGGGCTGGCCGGGCTTGATTGTCCGGAGACACCCCGCATCAACACACGTGCCAGGTCCCGCGAGGGGTCGCCCCGTGCTGTAGACGCTGGCGCAGCAGACGTCTCGTTCCATTCGGAGCGATTCCGATTTGTGCTGTCCGATGCGGCGGGGGCGGGGCTTCGTCGGGACATACCCAAGTCTGTTGGTAATAATAAAGCGGCATATGCCAGGTCCCGCGAGGGCCGCCCCGTGCTGTAGACGCTGGCGCAGCAGACGTCTCGTTCCATTCGGAGCGATTCCAAGCTGTGCTGGTTGATGCAGCGGGGGCGGGTTTTCGTCCTGGGGCAACACACAACCCCTACGCTCATAAGGCCCTACATGGAAGCGCCACTCGGTGCTTAAATGGATACGACTGGTGCGGCCTCCCATTCGGGGCGCCCCCAGCCTGGATTTGCCCATATACCGGGGGCGGGAAACCGTCCGAGCGCGCCTCAGGCGGCACGACCGGGAGTGGATCTCCCCCAGCAGTACATTAATCCCCACTATCGCAGTACGGCGAGTCCTGACCTCCACTCGGAGCAGGCCCGCACTGCACGACTCTATGGGACGGGACCAGTGGACTTGCTCCGCGCACGGGTCAATGGAGTGGAGCCCGTGGAGTTGCTTCGCACGGGAGTCAATGGAGAGGAGCCGGCGCAGTTGCTCCGCACGGGACTCAATGGAGCGGAGCCGATGGAGTTGCTCCACACAGGAGTCAATGGAGAGGAGACCCCGGGGTGGGCCCAGAGGAGAACCCAGAGGTGATCCCAGAGGTGATCCAAGCGGAGAACCCAGAGGAAAACCAAGAGGAGACCCCAGAGGTGACCCTGGAGGAGACCACAGAGGAGACCAGGAGACCCAAGCGGATACCCCAGCGGAGGCGCCGCCTTGTTCGGGGACGAACAAGGGTCCTCGGAGGGGGCTGTGTAACGGCGGTGCCGGGCCGCCGGCAGAGGGCGCCAGCACGGACCCACGGTGCAACCGTAGCGTTGGGACCCCTGCTGCTGGGTCAGGGAGACCCGTTGCCAGACTGCGCCGACTCAGTAGTGTGACTTTTGTATAGCGTTCCTTTTGGTTGTGAGTTGTATAAAGTGAGAGCCTCGTGTAAAGAAATTGGAAAAAATAAATGACCCTGAAGAATAGTGTCTGTGGTTTCCTTCGTCTGGCGTGTGAGAACCCCAGATTCGTTCTACGTTACAATATCGCCCATGTACTTTTCAAGTTATGGACTTTTAAACTCCAACACAGTTTCGTAACTTTGTTCACGGATTAAAAAAGTAAGAGATATTTCAGCAAAAGGAAAATAATTTACACATAAAAAAATTGATTAGTATCATTTTTAGTAATACCTCCCTTTTGTTAGCATCATATAGCATACGTCACCGGCTGAACCGGGGGGGGGGGGAGGCCAACCCCCAAAACCCCACTAGATCAGATACTTGATATTTAACCACAACTTTCCCAGATCTGTCCGCTCGACTTGAAATAATTTCAAAACCCGTACCTGTAAATCAATTGGAAGTTCAACGGCAGAAACATTTGATCTTTTGTTCTTATGACTTACATAATAGTCCAGATACGTTAGATCTACGTGGGTAATTATTGCACCGAAGATGATGACAATAATCGCGGCAACGATGCCAATAGCGTTGAGCACCAGAGATGCGATCGCCTGTCAAAGGTGTAAAAGCATTTAAACGTATTTTACATACGCTAACATTTGAAACATGCATGAAGTCTCTTGGATTTTGATAAAAGAACAAGAAGAAATGGGAAGTAAACTAGAGGTTTGAGTCTGTTCGACAGCATGATGATTTCTTTAATGAGTTTACACGTGAATGATAGTTTCATGTCCAAAGTGCATCCTATGTACAATTTTGCTAGTAGCCAAAAATATATAATTTTAAGCTTTTGTGACCAATCAGTCGATGACGTCATCTTGACATTATTTCCAATTTTCGAACTAGTAACAACGCTTAATTTTTGTCGAGACCGGCGTTCGAAAGTTACGCCGAACCAAATTGTTCCAAACATTTCAATTGCAGCACATAACAATTTCGACGTTGCGTTAACTTGTTGCTAATATTTACCACTCCGCAGTTGCCAGTATTACCCGCAATTATTCCAAGGATCCCGGCAGGAATGAAGAACTGAGGGTGAAAAAAAGTGATTCAAAACTTCTTTCAAAGAAAAATGTATTTTTCCCAAGTACACGTTGGTAGTGATTTTAAAGGACCAATGTAATGTATTTTCCTAATGCAATCCTTGAAAATGCATTTTTTTGTCCCATTTTACCTTATTTTCAATTCTCATCTTGCCATTTTGAAGGGCATTCGGTGCCTTTTTGGTTTTTTGCTTATGCGAATTTCAATATTCATGAGCAAAAGTGTGATCTCACTTCAGGCAGAAATCCCAACGTTACAGCTATTTCAGCCCCAACATTTTCTAGAATTTTGGATATTTTGATGACGTAAATGTTCTTTTCTTTGGTGATTAGTCGCTGTGTCAGTACACTGCAATAAGCCAATGAGCCAAGTTTTCTCACAGATGTTTTCAGAAAACCCCTGATAGTGTCGACGTTTTTTCGCTAGGTAAGATAGCTATATAGGCATTCAACAAACTTAAAAAGAGCACTTTTCGATAAATTCAACCAAAACGGAATATCAAATAATTTTTATACATTTCAGAGGAGTAGAAATAAAGTTACGCAAAATATGTGACCAACTAAGGTTTATGTCATTGGCCCTCTAACTCCAATCTGCCAAGAGATTATATTCGCTGCGCTTCGGATAAAGAGTCAGCCCGGCCGGTGGGTCGGCTGGTGAGTCGGCCGTTGCGTCGGCTGATGGGTCGGCCGGTGGGTCGGCCTGTGGGTCGCCCCACAGGTCGGTTTAAGTACCGATTTTAGAAAACTTACAAGGATACTGCACCACACTGGTGCGCCGACTTCACTGTAGTATGAACCGGGAAAGCCGAAACCGCCGCCCCAAAATATAGGCAACAGTATTCCATCAATGATGTGAATGACTCCAATCGCCCTCATCATAACATTGTAGGTGGCCATCTCGAACGTTTGAGCTCAGCACTCGCCGTAATCCCAAGCTGTGTGTAAACTGCGGATTGTTCAATACAAGATAAAAAGAATGTTATATTTGGCATTTAAAACTTGACTTCCTATGCGCATCGAAAATGTCATCTGTACATTGTCTTACTCCATTTCTGATTTTTTTTTTACCCATCCATCGAGAGCCAGGCTACACGGTCACCCCCTTGCACCTGACTGACTTAATTGATTAACTGACTCACTCACTTTGAATAGTCACGCTTTAAAAAATCGTACTTTAAAGTGTTTCACTTTTTCATTTGGTCATGCACATGCACCGGTCTTCCATTCCTGCATGGTCCTACGCGTAGGTTGGTCGCATGATCTGACACACCCTAAAGCCCGCCGCACACGAGAGTTACGTGCTGAGCAAAAAGTCATTCGAGGCCGTTTGCTCTTCACCTAGCTTATAAACTATATATCCCCGTGTGCGGTGAATTTGTGCAGAATTGTCTGCCTTGCAAGGCCCATGTTTGATTTCTCTCGCTTTGCGAGACGAGAAACTCAGCGTGTGCAGTCAAGTGTATCTACGTGCTGAGCTAAAAGGGTTAACTAGGCAATGAAAACACATAATTCTTGTTTGTCGGTCGCGCGATTTAAAAAATATGGAGAAACGCTAGTAGGTTTTAGAAGAGTGCACAAAAATATCTTAAAATCACGTGTACAGAGTAGTACGTGATTTCATTAATCTTTTTAGCTCAGCACGTAGCTCAAGTTGCCCGCACACGGTGAGTTTTTCGCCTCGCGAGGCGAAAGAAATCAATCAGGATAGATGTTTGCCTCACGGCCTCGCGAGGCAGAAAACTCAGCAAAAATTCACCGCACACGGGGATATTTCGTGAGCTACGTATGATTTTACATTCCGATCGAGCTGCGTGCCCCGCTTTAATAGTGAACCAGACTCAAAATATCCCAGGTGCCAACTGGACATAATAATGGATCAAAAAATCATCTGTAAATGAAATAGGCCTTTGTTTTACCAATGGCGTCCGGAGTTGTTAGTGGAGGAATGCCAGTGCTGGACCACAACTTCCCAATACTGGTGAAACCGCTATCTGATCGAACACAGCACCACACCAGCAATTTTGGCAATGTTGATCACCCCTATTCTAAACACACATACCTCCCGCACCCGTAGTGGATTCTGCGTCACAGCTAACCTATACCTTTATACCAGCGCAGCTTTGATAACCTTTTGGTTAATGATTAAAATAATTCATGTTAATCGTTATTGTTTGCATGCAAGGGTGTTTCAGGACATTTTTTTCACAATCCTGTGTTTCTCCTAAAAGAAGATCCACAACATTACAACCGACGAAAAATGTATTCAGTACAATAATAACCGGGATATGCGAGTTTCCAAGTAACACGAGTAGGTCTATGACTTTTACTCATCACCGCCATATTTGTTTTCCTAATTGAGTCATTCTAATTTGGGGTCCCCTTTCTTTTCTGTCCACGTTACATCATGGAAAACTATAGTTTTAGGATTCTGGTGCACTCCTTACTGCAATCGACCTTCAAGAGTGATTATGAATAGTAAACTACCTATACCCAAAAAATATAAACGTTAATTTGAAGTCATTCTAAAGGATACTTTAATGAAAGGCAAATTGCAGACGTACCAATTGAACATGGACAGATAAAGGTCACACTTTGGACCCTCATTAATTGATTAGAATGACCTCATAAATTGATTAGTCGAAAGATGGGGTTGAAGTGCAGGGGTGCAGTTCACTATGATAACATCTATGGGTGTATGTGTTTGTGGCTGTGCTTTTAAATTGACAGTGTTTCATAATAGTCAGGTGGCGTATGGGCGGAATCGTTACCGACTAGTCCAAAGCGCCAAATTTGCAGACTTGTATTTGAGTCACCAAACATCGAGTCCAAGTCCGAGTCACCTCTCCCGAGTTCGAGTCCCGAGTCATGCAGGGAGTCGGATCCGAGTCACGAGCCACACAGATCGAGTCCGAGTCACGAGTCACGAGAACACATATAATATGTATTGGAAGTACCCTTGAGGCTTAAAACCTGAAGTGTAAATGTTTCCATTTTTTCAGAGTTTTTCTTTAATTTTTTGAACAGGAAATACATGTATTATATAACAAGTCAAATAAGGCCAGGCAGGAAAGTCTGATATCAAACACTATCAAGCTTGCATTTACGCAGTATCAAGTGTGAACGCTGGTACCTGTTTCAGTGCATTGACTTCCCAATCAATATATCAAGGGCAAAAGCCAGAAGCACGCGCTGTGCATGCACAATACACCTACCTAGCTGTGTGTTTTCTGCACCGCACATAGTTTATCGCTCGCTCAGGAGACGATCGTCTTCAAAATAATATATTGTTGAAATAAATAAGTGATTTTGTGTTAATTTTGGTCGAGTCCCGAATCACGCTGGTCGAATCCGAGTCCAAATTCGAGACCTTAAGGTATAGAGTCCAAATCATTTGTCATCGTGACTTGAGTCCGAGCCGAAAAAAAGGAACATGAGTCACATGTCGTACAAGTCTTAGTTTGGCATGCATGCATGCTTTGTGTGGGAAAATCTCCAAAGCGAAAAAAAGAAAAGATGTGTCCGTAAATTGGGCTAAAACTAGGCGAAGGCTTGCTGATGTGGGGGCTTGAATAAAGTCAGAGCAATCCCTGTCAGAAAACTGTTTGCATTGACATCAGTATAAACAACCATAATCTCTTATTTGGGGGAATTTCTTTGAACTTGTTTATGTCCCCCATGTTAGACAACCCTTCGTCTAATTTTTAGCCCAATTTACGGGAAATCTTTTTTTTCCTCATGTTTGCTTTTTGGACTTACTATCATGATGTTATCATTGTTCACTTAATTGTTCATATAGTTTTATTAGGGTAAGTGTGTCAGTAAGTAACTTTGTGAATTGAAAGCTCATCAAAACTGAGGTTTGGCAAGACTACTTGATGATATCTGGGGAAAAGGTAAATGCACCGATGGGGTTGGAACTCGATAAATGTATTTACATAAACAGGAATATGTTATAGGTAAAAATAATGATGTGACGTCATGATGACATCAGCATCATCATTACCATCACCACCCTTATTATTATAAAACAAACTCAAGGCAAAAATGTATTTAGTTCTTAATATCCATATCCCCACATCATTCAGTTTGTTACTTTGAATCCTTAATGGCTGCGCTCTTAGCAATCAACAACATTCAATAATCATCACACATAACAGAGGAACGGTATTTTGCTATGAAGACAAGGTTGTATTCTTCTTACATAATTGTTACATAAAATTGAAAACAAAGAGTTTTAATAAAAATTGTTGTGAGTGCATGGGTTATATATTATAACGTGTTTAAAACAAATAAAACTGCAATTTGGAGCAAGTTATATGAACCCAAAAACCTTTGCTGTCCAGACACGTAAACGGAAACAAACTTCTCTTTCAACATCGGTCAATTATTGCTAATTGCTATCATCGACCTCCTATGACAATTTTAACAGCTTACCTTGTCAATTTGAAATGATGTAAGCCTGAAATGAATGTGCACATAAACCAATTTAGCAAAAAGACATCTGAGTACAATAACAGTTTATAAAAGAGAAACATCGATAAAGAAATAGCACAAAAAGTAAATCAAAATCAAAATCATGTTAAACATTTTCGAGAAAGATCAGCCTGGCAATTTTGGTTCATACTGTCCAACTCAAAGGTTATTAATCCAGCTCTCATGTGTGTGCTTAATAAAAGACAGCTTTACCTAATAAGCCAAGTTTCCGTATCGACGTGCAGCTTATCGCGCAGACTACGCAGACTGCGCAGACAATACGCGGAACAGTCGGCTGCGAGGTAGTTTGCGTCTGTCTGAGTTGTCGGCGAAACTTCCGGATGAAATGTTTCCATATGTCTGTATTGTTGGTCCTGTTTGCAATTCACTTTGTGTTTCTTACGTCGAAATGGAAACTAGGCTTTACACACTCGTGGGCTTGCTGTTGTACAATGAACGTTCTTACATTATCAAAACATTATCTAGGTATACCACAGAAATGTCCAGGTACAACAGAAACATCCAGGTACCACAGTAACATCCAGGTACCACAGAAACATCCAGGTACCATAGAAACATCCAGGCACCACAGAAACATCCAGGTACCACAGAAACATCCAGGTACCACAGAAACATCCAGGTACCACAGAAACATCCAGGTACCACAGAAACATCCAGGTACCACAGAAACATCCAGGCACCACAGAAACATCCAGGTACCATGGAAACATCCATGTACCATGGAAACATCCAGGTACCACAGATACATCCAGGTACCATGGAAACATTTAGGTACTACAGAATTGGAAGTAAACAATTCGATGAATAATTACCATTGCTGCTCATCATTGACTGAAACAACTTTTAAATACTTTTCCAATTTGATAGGATTGAAAAGTGAAAACATTAGCAGCTAGCACGGGATGTTAACAAAATGACATTTTATCACACAAAAATAGACGTTAGTATCATAATCATAATAAACCTTTTAGAAATACAAATTCAACTTATTTTAATTCATGCTTTCGAGTTAAAGGGAATTTACATCATTTGCTTTTGCCTTAATTTCAGAAATGGATGGAATTGGGGGGTTTGAAATATATAGCAAATATAGTTACTAACTTTTTTGAGAATTTGGGTTCGAAAATGCTATAAAAAGCAAGAAAAACAATCATTTTCCTTTAGTCTGGTTCCCCGACTCCATATAAGAAGAAACAGAGCAGTTTACATACATTGGTGAATTGTCAGGTCAGGGAACCAGTCTAGCTGGCTTGTACCCGTTCATAGGTGTGTAATCGATTGCAAACAAGCGCGATGGTCAATTGGGACCAGTATTTGAAAAAAAGCCGACCAGCGTTGGAAATTGATACAAAAATACCACTTTTCTTGAAAATGACAGTACATGAATACCAGGTGCCATGATTTTATAGGATGCTTTTACACTGTCATTCACTAACAGTCAAGCAAGGTATTTCAAAATGATTTGGTAGTTTTATTTTTCGATGTTTGCAAATGTTGTATTTTCCCTTTAAGCATTTTCGGGGCAAAGCTTTTTTTAAGTTGGGCCCAGGACACATTACACAGTGCTTAGTACTTCTGCCAGGCTTGGGTTGGTGTGTACTGCACCTGGAATGTGGTGCCTGGGTACTGCCCCTGGGCCGGTGAGCCAGGGTTCTGCCCCTGGGCCGGTGGACCTGGGTACTGCCCCTGGGCCGGTGGGCCTGGGTACTGCCCCTGGGCTGGTGGGCCTGGGTACTGCCCCTGGGTCGGTGGCCCTGGGTACTGCCCCTGGTCTGGGGCGCCTGGTAACTGCCCCTGAACTGGCTGAGCTGGGTTCTGTATTTGGACTTGTGCTCCCGGGCTCTGCATTCCTGGGTTGGCTACCCCACCACCACTGTAAACCTGTGTATCATTGGAGAGATAACTAATAGATCAGTGTTGTTCCTAGAGTGTTGCAGTCGAGTCCATCACAATTAAGTCCGGTCACAAGTCCTGTCACAAGTAAATCCATAGTTAGACTGTAGGAATTTGACAACATTTAAAGGTATATGGAACATTTGCTCATTAGCGAAGGCAGAGAAAACGCATGTACAATTTTTGGGGTCTCATAACTGGATTTCGTTGCTATTGCTAACGCTCATAGGTTTACATGTTAAAAAAAAAATACCCGCGGGTACATTTTCTGAAACCAACTTCAATGAGTGTTTCTTCCGAATGATACCATAACAGTCGGGGTAATTCCTGTCTTCACTTTGAGCAAGGATTTTCTTGTTAAATTGGTGGGTACGTTTCCGCGTATTTGCAAATGGTCCTGCGTGCCTTAAAGGGACATTTCGGTTTGGAATGTGCCCAATTGGGATACAAAACGCGTTTTAAACCAAACGAGATTAAATAAAAAGAGCATTTAAAAATAGAATATAGATGTCCACACAACTATCCTTTAAAAACTGGGACATTTGATTCATTCTTGCGAGAAACATGCGAGAATGAATTTCGGGGGTCACATTGTTTTTGTCCCCCGAAAGAGCGAGCTGTTTAGTGCTATAGTTGTGTGATCCAGCCGCACAGTGGTTCGTGTTCTGCGGACGTGTATAAGAAACAACGTTTTAGTATTGGTGTTGTGTGTATTATGTACCACACACACAACGTGTAGCGTACATTGAATAGACACGACTTGAAATACGTACAGTATTTTGTAGTGCAGCTGCACTGTATTGTGAATAAATTTGAGCAGTACGAAGCTTTTGGTGAACTAGAAAAGTTTTTCAAAAAAACTTTTTTGAGGTGCATACTGCAACGAAAAAAAAATTGGCGCTGAATATGTGAGGTATAGTAAAACAAATATAACATGTTACATGTTTGTGTAGTGCAATATTAACGTACCCCGCTGACGCAGGTAATGTCGCGGTTTGGTTTCGTTTTTCAAGCCCCAATGTGAGGATTTTAGTCATAGAGATTGGTTTTTAACCAATGCGGGGGGGGGGGGTGTAGGGGAATCAGTTGATATGTACATAACCGCGACCAACATGACTTACCTCAGTGGAATCCTGCATTGCAGTAGGTTTGTGGATGATGCGCGCGGAGTACACAGTCCCAACAATACACACTGAGAGCTCAAAGAGAGCGAGTAGAATGATAATGACGTTTAGAGCCACATTACCGCCGTACTGCTCGGAACACAAACACACAAAACACAATACAGGGTGAGTCCAAAAAAAAGAGAGAAGGAAACCCAAATGGTGCCCCCTACTTTGAAAGAAGTTCTGCCCATAGCGCATACAAGATCTAGGATGTAAAAGCCCAATAAATATGTTTTGCTTAACAAAAGAATCGTTTATATCGCCCATGTACTTTTCAAGTTATGGACTTTGAAACTCGAACATAGTTTCGTAACTTTGTTCACGGATTAAAAAGGTAAGACATATTTCAGCAAAAGGAAAATAATTTACACATACAAAAATTGATTAGTATCATTTTTAGTAATACCCCCCTTTTTGTTAGCATCATATAGCATACGTCACCGGCTGAACCGTGGGGGGGGGGGGGGGCCAACCCCCAAAACCCCACTAGATCAGATACTTGATATTTAACCACAACTTTCCCAGATCTGTCCGCTCGACTTGAAATAATTTCAAAAACCCGTACCTGTAAATCGATTGGAAGTTCAACGGCAGAAACGTTTCATCTTTTGTTTTTATGACTTACATAATAGCTAAAAAACTTTAGAGCCTCGTTGGTAATTATTGCACCGCAGATGATGACAGTAATCGCGGCAACGATGCCAATAGCGTTGAGCACCAGAGATGCGATCGCCTGTCAAAGGTGTAAAAGCATTTAAACGTATTTTACATACGCTGACATTTCAGCGCAGATTGCACCACAGAATGAAACATGCATGAAGTCTGTTGGATTTTGATAAAAGAACAAGAAGAAATGGAAAGAAAACTAGAGGTTTGAGTCTGTTCGACAGCATGATGATTTCTTTAATGAGTTTACACGTGAATGATAGTTTCGTGTCCAAAGTGCATCTTATGTAAAATTTTGCTAGTAGCCAAAAATATCTAATTTTAAGCATTTGTGACCAATCAGTCGATGACGTCATCTTGACATTATTCCAATTTTGCACACTAGTAACAACGCTTAATTTTTTGTCGAGACCGGCGTTCGAAAGTTACGCCGAACCAAATTGTTCCAAACATTTCAATTGCAGCACATACAAATTTCGACGTTGCTTTAACTTGTTGCTAATATTTACCACTCCGCGGTTGTCAGTAGTAGCCAAAATTATTCCAAGGATCCCGGGAGGAATGAAGAACTGCGGGAGAAAAAAATTGGTGCAAAACTTCTTTCAAAGAAAAATGTATTTTTCCCAAGTACACGTTTGTAGTGATTTTAAAGGACCAATGTAATGTATTTTCTTAATGCAATCCTTGAAAATGCACCTTTTTGTCCCATTTTACCTTATTTTCAATTTTCATATTGCCATTTTGAAGGGCATTCGGTGCCTTTTTGTTTTTTTGCTAATGCGAATTTCAATATTCATGAGCAAAAGTGTGATCTCACTTCAGGCAGAAATCTCAACGTTCAGCTATTTCAGCACCAACATTTGCTAGAATTTTGGATATTTTGATGACGTAAATTTTCTTTTCTTTGGTGATTAGTCGCTGTGTCAGTACACTGCAGTAAGCCAATGAGCCAAATTTTCTCACAGATGTTTTCAGTGAGCATATTTTGGGATCAGAAAACCCCTAATAGTGTCGGCGTTTTTTCGCTAGGTAAGATAGCTATTTTACCTAGGTTTGGGAAATCCGAAAATGATGGACAATTTGCATACATCTTTAATACCTGTCGTGTAATAAATTTGTCCCCATATTTGGGTATATTTTTTATTATCATTTAAAAAAAATATTTTGGTGATTCTACTTACACTTCCTTACTTCAATGACATTTTTCTAAAGCATATACGTGAGTGAAAAATTATGAAGACATAGAAGCAATCCAAAATGGCTACTATTATACTCGAAAGTTGCGCGCATTCACGGTGTCTTCAGAGACCATCAAGTAGTCTTGACAAATATCAGTATTGATGAACTTCAAATTCACCATGTTGCTTACTGGTGCAGTTACCCTATTTAAAACCTTACGGAAAATCATGTGAATAATGATAAAGCGAGGTGTCCGTAAATTGGGCTAAAATGTAGCTGAAGAGTATCTCTGACACCTCATGTGGAAATATTCAAGCCGACTAATCCTGGTGCTGTAAGTTGTGTTTATAGGACAATCAGTGTAAGCAACTTTAATTTTTTTTTATTTTAGGGGCCCCTTGAATTTGTTCAAGTGACCCCACGTTAGGCAACCCTTCGCCTAATTTTTAGCCCAATATACGGACACCTTGTTTTTCCCCGTGTGTTCTTTTTTTGTCCTAAATGTCAAGTATTATCATTTGTCTTATGGTAACTGTACCAGTGAGTAACATTGTGAATTTGAAGCTCATCTATACTGATGCTTGGCAAGACTACTTGATGATTTGTGAGGAAAAGTAAATGCGCGCAACTTCAGGAAATAAGAGTAGCCCTTTTGTATTGTTGCTATGTCCTCATAATTATTATTCAGTCACTTATATGCTTTAGAAAATGTTATTGATTTAAGGAAGAGGAATCACAAAATAGACTTTTTCAAAAAGAAATAATAAAAAAACATACCCAAATATCATGGCAACAAATATATTACACGTCAGGTATCAAATATTTATGCAAATTAGGCAAATTTCCAATTAAAATCCAGCTTGGTATCCGTCGGATTCAGCACCCCAAGATTAGGTAAAATAGCTAGGTTACCAACTTCTTCCAAAAAATGGATCTTTTTGCCCTAAATGAGCCCTTTTTAAAAATATCGCCTAGACTTTTAAGTTGACAGTGTCTTCCTGAAATGACATCACAGCAACAGCGCCCTCATTTGTTAAGAAAAGCATGGAAATTCAAAAAAAAAATTAAAAAGCACTTTTCGATAAATTTAACCAAAACAGAATATCAAATAATTATGATACATTTCAGAGGAGTAGAAATAAAGTTACACAAAATATGTGACCAACTTCGTTTTATGTCATTGGCCCTGTAACTCCAATCTGCCAAGAGATTATATTCGCTGCGCTTCGGATAAAGAGTCAGCCCGGCCGGTGGGTCGGCTGGTGAGTCGGCCGTTGCGTCGGCTGATGGGTCGGCCGGTAGGTCGGCCTGCGGGTCGCCCCACAGGTCGGTTTAAGTACCGATTTTAGAATACTTACAAGGATACCGCACCACACTGGTGCGCCGACTGGACTGTTGAAGGGAAAGGCGATACCGGCGCCCCAACAAATAGGCAAGAGTATTCCATCAACGATGTGATTGATTCCGATCGTCCTCATCATTTTTGTGTAGGTGGCCATCTCGAACGTTTGAGCTCAGCACTCACCGTAATCCCAAGCTGTGTTTAAACTGCGGATTTTTCAATACAAGATATAAAGAATGTTATTTTTTCGCATTTAAAACTTGACTTCCTATGCGCATCGCAAATTTCATCTGTACATTGTCTTACTCCATTTCTGAATTTTTTTTTTACCCCTCCATCGAGAGCCAGGCTACACGGTGACCCCTTTGCACCTGACTGACTTAATGATTAACCGACTCACTCACTTTGAATAGCCACGCTTTAAAAAAATCGCACTTAAAGTGGTTCACTTTCTCATTTGGTCATGCATATGCAACGGTCTTCCATTCCTGCATGGTCCTACGTGTAGATTGGTCGCATGATCTGACACACCCTAAAGCCCGCCGCACACGAGAGTTACGTGCTGAGCAAAAAGTCATTCGAGGCCGTTTGCTCAGCACCTAGCTTATAAACTGTCCCCGTGTGCGCTGAATTTGTGCAGAATTGTCTGCCTTGCAAGGCCCCTGTTTGATTTCTCTCGCTTCGCGAGACGAGAAACTCAGCGTGTGCAGTCAAGTGGATCTACGTGCTGAGCTAAAAGGGTTAACTAAGCAATGAAAACACATAATTCTTGTTTGTCGATCGCGCGATTTAAAAAATATGGACAAACGCTAGTAGGCTTTAGAAGAGTGCACAAAAATATCTTAAAATCACGTGTACAGAGTAGTACGTGATTTCATTAATCTTTTTAGCTTAGCACGTAGCTCAAGTTGTCCGCACACGGTGAGTTTTTCGCCTCGCGAGGCGAAAGAAATCAATCAGGATAGATGTTTGCCTCACGGCCTCGCGAGGCAGAAAACTCAGCAAAAATTCACCGCACACGGGGATATTTCTGGACCTACGTATGATTTTATATTCCGATCGAGCTGCGTGCCCCGCTTTAATAGTGAACCAGACTCAAAATATCCCAGGTGCCAACTGGACATAATAATGGATCAAAAAATCATCTGTAAATGAATAGGCCTTTGTTTTACCAATGGCGACCGGAGTTGTTAGTGGAGGAAGGCCAGTGCTGGACCACAACTTCCCAATGCTGGTGAAACCGCTCTCTGATCGAACACAGCACCATACCAGCATTTTTGGCAAAGTTGATCACCCCAATTCTAAACGCATGCACATACCTCCCGCACCGTAGTGGATTCTGCGTCACAGCTAACCTATACCTTTATACCAGCGCAGCTTTGATAACCTTTTGGTTAATGATTAAAATAGTTCAAATTTATCGTTATTGTGCGCATGCAAGGGTGTTTAAGGACATTTTTGTCACAATCCTGTGTTTCCCCTAAAAGAAGATCCGCAACATTACAACCGACGAAAAAGTAAAAATGCAATGTATTCAGTACAATAAAACCCGGGATATGCGAGTTTCCAAGTAACACGAGTAGGCCTATGACTTGTATTCATCACCGCCATATTTGTTTTCCTAATTGAGTCATTCTTAATTTGGGGTCCACTTTCTTTTTCTGTCCACGTTACATCATGGAAAACTATAGTTTTAGGATTCTGGTGCACTCCTTACTGCAATCGACCTTCAAGAGTGATTATGAATAGTAAACTACCTATACCCAAAAACTATAAACGTTAATTTGAAGTCATGCTTAAGGATACTTTAGTGACAGGCAAATTGCAGACGTACCAATTTAACATGGACAGATAAAGGTCACACTTTGGGCCTTATTAATTGATTAGAATGACCTCATTAATTGATAAGTCGAAACATGGGGTTGAAGTGCAGTGGTGCAGTTCACTATGATAACATCTATGGGTGTATGTGTTTGTGGCTGTGCTTTTAAATTGACAGTGTTTCATTATAGTCAGGTGGCTTATGGGCGGAATCGTTACCGACTAGTCCAAAGCGCCAAATTTGCAGACTTGTATTCGAGTCACCAAACATCGAGTCCAAGTCCGAGTCACCTCTCCCGAGTTCGAGTCCCGAGTCATGCAGGGAGTCGGGTCCGAGTCACGAGTCACAAAGATCGAGTCCGAGTCACGAGTCACGAGTCACATATAATATCTTTTGGAAGTACCCTTGAGGCTTAAAACCTGAAGTGTAAATGTTTCCATTTTTTTCAGAGTTTTTCTCTAATTTAATGAACTGGAAATACATGTATTATATAACAAGTCAAACAAGATGATGGACATCTATGGTTTTAGGATTCTGATGCACTTATGATGCAATCTGCACTACATTTATGATGCACTTTCTAATGCACTTAATCGTCCTCCAAGAGTGATGATGAATACCTATAACTTCCAAAGTGTGACAGATAAAGGTCACACTTTGGAACCTAAATTTATCGAATGACCTAATTAATTCGTAACATGGGGTTGAAGTGTAGGGGTGCTGTTCACTATGAAATTATCTATGTGTGTGTCATATTCGCTCGTACCCCCGCCCTGCAAACAGGGCGCTGGGACGGGCAGATGAGCTTTATGGGCGGGGGGTACGAGCGAATGTTCCATAATAGTCAGGTGGCTTATGGGTGAAATCGTGACCGACTAGTCCGAAGTGCCAAATTTGCAGACTTGTATTCGAGTCACCAAACCTCGATTCCGAGTCACCTCTCCCGAGTCCGAGTCCGAGTCCCGAGTCATGCAGGTCGGGTCCGAGTCCGAGTCCCGAGTCATGCAGGTCGGGTCCGAGTCCCGAGTCATGCAGGTCAGGTCCGAGTCCCGAGTCATGCAGGTCGGGTCCGAGTCCGAGTGCCGAGTCATACAGGTCGGGTCCGAGTCCCGAGTCATGCAGGTCGGGTCCGAGTCCGAGTTACGAGTCACATTTAATATATATGGAAGTAAATTTGAGGTAATGCTGAAACCTCGCAGTGTAAATGTTTCCATCTTTTCATAGCTTTCTCTAATTTAATGAACTGGAAATACATGTAACAAGTCAAATAAGGCCAGCACCTGATTTCACGAAGCGCTGCGACGCTTTGCGACTCGAGTTACGACGTGTAATAACACGTCGCAACTCGCAATGCGTCGTTTCATCCATTTCACGAAACATGCGATGTGTTGAACGCGTCGTAAACTCCTTGACAACGCCTTAAAACACGTCGCAAGTTAATACCACGTGTCTGGTGGCCATCGCAAAATAAGAAGAGTCCCAGTTTTATGCCATAAACATTACATAAACGATATTATAATACCGAGGCAATGTGTGTAAAGCAGTAAATAGAAAATTCATCGAATAATAATGAATTAGCCTGGAATATTTAAGTTTAAGTTTCAAAGTAGCTATACAGTCCAATGAGAGTTTGTTTTCCCCTAAAATGGCATCACAAGGCCGCCATTTTGTTAACCGTTTTAGCAAATTTCGAGCGGAGATCCGACGACTCTATGTTGAATATCAGATAACTACTTACTGTACGCTGACTAAATACATACTGTTTGATTTCTCTCGCTTCGCGAGACGAGAAACTCAGCGTGTGCAGTCAAGTGGATCTACGTGCTGAGCTAAAAGGGTTAACTAAGCAATGAAAACACATAATTCTTGTTTGTCGATCGCGCGATTTAAAAAATATGGACAAACGCTAGTAGGCTTTAGAAGAGTGCACAAAAATATCTTAAAATCACGTGTACAGAGTAGTACGTGATTTCATTAATCTTTTTAGCTTAGCACGTAGCTCAAGTTGTCCGCACACGGTGAGTTTTTCGCCTCGCGAGGCGAAAGAAATCAATCAGGATAGATGTTTGCCTCACGGCCTCGCGAGGCAGAAAACTCAGCAAAAATTCACCACACACGGGGATATTTCTGGAGCTACGTATGATTTTATATTCCGATCGAGCTGCGTGCCCCGCTTTAATAGTGAACCAGACTCAAAATATCCCAGGTGCCAACTGGACATAATGGATCAAAAAATAATCTGTAAATGAAATAGGCCTTTGTTTTACCAATGGCGTCCGGAGTTGTTAGTGGAGGAAGGCCAGTGCTGGACCACAACTTCCCAATGCTGGTGAAACCGCTATCTGATCGAACACAGCACCACACCAGCAATTTTGGCAATGTTGATCACCCCTATTCACGCAATAAACGCATGCACATACCTCCTGCACCGTAGTGGATTCTGCTTCACAGCTAACCTATACCTTTATACCAGCGCAGCTTTGATAACCTTTTGGTTAATGATTAAAATAATTCAAATGTATCGTTATTGTGCGCATGCAAGGGTGTTTAAGGACATTTTTGTCACAATCCTGTGTTTCCCCTAAAAGAACATTACAACCGACAAAAAAGTAAAAATGCAATGTATTCAGTACAATAAAACCCGGGATATGCGAGTTTCCAAGTAACACGAGTAGGCCTATGACTTGTACTCATCACCGCCATATTCGTTTTCCTAATTGAGTCATTCTTAATTTGGGGCCCACTTTCTTTTCTGTCCACGTTACATCATGGAAAACTATAGTTTTAGGATGCTGGTGCACTCCTTACTGCAATCGACCTTCAAGAGTGATTATGAATAGTAAACTACCTATACCCAAAAAATATAAACGTTAATTTGAAGTCATTCTTAAGGATACTTTAGTAAAAGGCAAATTGCAGACGTACCAATTTAACATGGACAGATAAAGGTCACACTTTGGACCCTTATTAATTGATTAGTCGAAACGTGGGGTTGAAGTGCAGGGGTGCAGTTCACTGTGATAACATCTATGGGTGTATGTGTTTGTGGCTGTGCTTTTAAATTGACAGTGTTTCATAATAGTCAGGTGGCTTATGGGCGGAATCGTTACCGACTACTCCAAAGCGCCAAATTTGCAGACTTGTATTCGAGTCACCAAACATCGAGTCCAAGTCCGAGTCACCTCTCCCGAGTTCGAGTCCCTAGCTGCGTTTTTTTCTGCACCGCACATAGTTTATCGCTCGCTCAGGAGACGATCGTCTTCAAAATAATATATTGTTGAAATAAATAATTGATTTTGTGTTAATTTTGGTCGAGTCCCGAATCACGCTGTTAGAATCCGAGTCCAATTCGAGACCGCAGGGTAGAGTCCAAATCATTTGTCATCTTGACTGGAGTCCGAGTCTGAGTAACGGAAAAAAAAGAACTCGAGTCACATGTCGTACAAGTCTGTAAGTTTGGCATGCATGCACGCTTTGTGTGGGGAAATCTCCCAAGAGAAAAAAAGAAAAGATGTGTCCGTAAATTGGGCTAAAACAAGGCGAAGGCTTGCCTGATGTGGGGGCTTGAATCAGTTCAGAGCAATCCCTGTCAGAAAACTGTTGGCATTGACATCAGTGTAAACAACCATAATCTCTTATTTGGGGGGGGGGGGGGATTTCTTTGAACTTGTTGAAGTCCCCCATGTTAGGCAACCCCTCATGTAATTTTTAGCCCAATTTGTGGGAACTTTTTTTTCTCCTCATGTTTGCTTTTTGGACTTACTGTCATGATGTTATCATTGTTCACTTGATTTTTCGTATAGTTTTATTAGGGTAAGTGTGTCAGTTAGTAACGTTGTGAATTTAAAGCTCACCAAAACTGAGGTTTGGCAAGACTACTTGATGATATCTGGGGAAAAGGTAAATGCACCGATGGGGTTGGAACTCGACAAATGTATTTACATAAACAGGAATATGTTATAGGTAAAAATAATGATGTGACGTCATGATGACATCATTATCATCATTACCTTCACCACCTTTATTATTGTAAAACAAACTCGAGGCAAAAAATGTATTAAGTTCTTAATATCCATATCCCCACATCATTCAATTTGTTACTTTGAATCCTTAATGGCTGCGCTCTTAGCAATCAACAACATTCAGTAATCATCAATTATTGATAATTGCTATCATCGACCTCCCATGACAACTTTAACAGCTTTTTGTCAATTTGAAATGATGTAAGCCTGAAATTAATGTGCATATGAACCAATTGAGCAAAAAGACATCTGAGTACAATAACAGTTTATAAAAGAGAAACATCGATAAAGAAATAGCACAAAAAGTAAATCAAAGTCAAAATCATGCTAAACATTTTCGAGAAAGATCAGCCTGGCAATTTCGGTTCATACTGTCCAACCTAAAGGTTATTTATCAAGCTCTCATGTGTGTGCTTAATAAAAGACAGCTTTTACTTAATAAGCCTAGTTTCCGTATCGAC